CAGGGCAGACGCGTCTGCGGCGTCGCGAGGCCCGTATTTCTCCAAAGCAATTTAACTCAAGGCGCGCCGGGAGGGGCTATAGCCGCGAACGCTAAGTTGGCACGTTAGCCACAGTCCGTCGTGTCTCGTTCAGAGCGGGCTGAACGGCATCCTCCTGAAGGCCTAAGTATGGAGTTGGGCCCTTCAGGACCCAAGTCATCGCCACCAAGCACCTGCCACGACTCCTTGGATGTGACTCCGGAAGAAGGCCACCTTTCAGTATCGGAATGTGATGCGATGGCAGTTGGGCGTGACAACAGGCGGACCAGTTCAAAGTGTCTGAAGTTTGACACTGGGCAATTGAGACGAAAATGCTCTCGCGACAGGCTTGCCATCGGGACCTTCCTTGCTGACAGTCACAGCCCGGAAGTGGGCCTATCCCGTCGAGATCCGTCAAGAATGTCACCTTGTGGTACTTTTCAGGAGGTTTGATGCCCACATCCTAGCGGGCGCACAGAACCGACAACGCCGTTGGGACTTGAAGTGTTCTTCTGCGGGTGTTGTCTCAGGTTCCTTGCCCCTTGCGGGAAACCTTGCAAGGCGTGGCCTCCCCTGGCATACATGACCGAAAACAGAAGGGGATCAAGAGGCAGTGTGAGGGAAAAGTCTCCGTAAGAACCTGGGGTGGCCGGACGCTGTGGCAGACAGGTTCGTATCCATCAAGTTCGTGGGTCCATCTCATAATCGTAGCCACTGTCCGCCTCCTTGTCCGTTGTTGTAGCTTGGTCCGGGCGGGCGACGGAGAATGAGGGCTCAAAACGGCTTTTCAAGGTCTAGTTGGCTGCGCCAGCGTGTTCCGCCTTGAGTGATTGACGAGAAAGCACGCTTGTCATCCCAGCTTCAGGACACCAACTGGCATCCGTAGAGTTGTAAAGGAACACATCGACTTTTAAGGCATTTTCATGTTGATTGGGAACATTACTGCGAAGCTTTCCACCGTGTTTGGGCTAACAGAAAAGTCATGGTGCAGAATGACGAGTCCAGCAGGTGGGAAGTGGGAGACACACTTGTGTCACCTCAGGCTGCCCGGTGGCGAGGAGCTATTCTGAGCGACGACTCGTTGCGTGATGGCGGGGTACCTCGGCATGTGGAGGTGTATAGCGGAAGAAAGGCGGACAGCTGCCACAACGCTATGTACCGTGTTATCGAAAGAGGTGAAACAGGCTTCCCTAAGCTTTCTGATGGGAAACAGGGCCAACAGACAATGAGTTAGGGAGATGCTGGAAGCGAGACACGGAAACAGCTGATGTCGCTTGCCCCGATTGTCGTCCTTCTCAGAGAGACCAAGAGCGGACTGCATCAGATTTTATGCCGCCTTGTTTGAAGGAAACGAGCGGGAGGGCCGGAGAGCCAGAAGAGCGAGAGGCGACACGCAATAGTAACGGGGCTATTCAGCCTCAGGCGAACATATTACGACGTAGAGGGTTGACCTCTTCTTTTTGCGTTTGCGAAGAAATGATGAACTACCGTTGAGTCCCTGGTAGTTAAGTTGGGAAGCCTTGGCGGGGAGATGCGGCATCAGTGGAAAGTATCGTGTGGTGTACGGGGGAACCCCTGGAGGAGGTCCAAGCAGTCAAAGCTTGCCATGGGGATGGAGGTGCCGCCGCCGTGTTGTCGGTGCCAATCTGCTTTCGTCCAGTGTGCGGCGAAGCGTTTTTTGTGCCAATGTCAATCATTCTCGAGCACGATCGTCTGTAGTAGCAACACGGCCGGATGAATGTGGCCGAAGTCATGGTCCCCAGAGAGACAGAACCCAGGCACTAAACCCGCGACCGGGAGATCAATGGCCATCGAATTATCTGTAGATGGCAAGAGTGTATTGTGTTCCGAGGACGCCGACGGTAGGCCCCCCCAATTGAATGAACGATGGGGAGCGTGGCAGGGCCCGATCGGGTGCGGCTGCCGTTATGGTTGGCGGTGATGCAGGATCGATCACCAGAGTCTTGTTCTAGTGTTGCGGCAAAAAAGGCCATCTTGGCAAAGTTTGAATAGCTGTCGATATCGTTGCTGATTGATGAGACGGCGTTTTGCGGTGGATTCCCCCAATGCCAGGTGGGCGAGCTTCGGCTCCGTGTTGATCAGCACAGAAATAGAATACCTAGACGGGAAAAGGTTGGGGTCCTCGCAAGGGATCTGGAGTCCTGGACACTGGCCAATGGTCGGCTGGTTGGATTGGACTGTTCTTGATGCAAGCTGGACCGATACGTTATGCTATGGCTAGCATGTTCCATAAGGCCGGTATCGTAATTTTGACCAGAAGGAGGCATGGTGGCATGGAAGCATGTTCGACGCAGCGGTGCGAGCGAGAACGAGAGCTACACAGTAGACCCAATAGACGGGGAGGCCAGCGATCCGGGCTCTAGCGAGAGTTTAGCCCCTGAAAACGGCCAGAACTTGGAGAATGGTGGGCAGCACACCACTGTGGTAGGTAGAGTGGTGGTGAGTGGAGAGTGGTGAGTGGATGGTGTGCGATGGTGCTTTGCATTGACGTGCGGTTTTGTGGTAGTGTAGTGGTGGTGTAGTACCAGAGGCACAAGATGTATCCGTAGGTACTCTTTGGCACCCTAAGTTGAGGGTCCTGGTCAAGAGCAGTATCACGATGAGACTGTTGCTGGTGCAGCGATGGAGTCGATGGGGTTGATGCTCGCTCGTGCTCTAGCTGAAAGCTGGAACAGACGATGGGAGGAGGAGGGGAAGTCATTCCTCTTTGACATGGCGATGGCGAAAATCGATGCCAGAGCCAGAGCCAATGCCCAAAGCAGGGTAATGTTGTGTCGCAAGGGGAAGGGGGAAAAGAGATTCCCATCAGATAGGACGGAATGCCAGAGGCGGTTGTTGTCTTGGATGGATGTCTTGGATCGTGTTGGATGGTGAGCGGGTGATGGTCTCCGTGATGGCGCGGGAGTCTGAGCGAGTGCCGGGGCGAAGGGCCGTGGAATGATGATGCTCCAGCTCAAAGGATTAGTGCTGCTAGCCTTTTGGTCCACCGCCCTTGGGTCCCAAGGTCCTTGGGATTGGGTCACTCACTGGGTGTGATGGAGGGTGGTGGTGTTGTGTGTCTGTAGGTTTGATTCGATGCTGGACATGATGGATGCATCGCACTGCTGTATGAGCTGTGCACATATGGCTTGGATGCTTGGGCCAGAATCTGGAAACACTTGCAACGACATCTGCAGAGCAGAAATGTGAACTGTGAACAGTTACCAAGAAGCAGCAGCAGGTACTCGTCCACGGGGCGGAAGACGATGGTGACAGAACCCAGTGATGTGCAGGATGCAGCAGCCAGAAACGCGAGGCCCGCAACAGCTCTCGGATGCAGTTAGAACTTGCAGCTGGCAGAGGTTGCGAGGAACTCTACCTGCCAAACAGTAAGGTACAGACAGGTACGCAGGACTCCGTAGACGAAGTTAAGTTCCTGAGGGCTGAGGAAGAAGGAGAGACCGAGAGACAAGGTACAAAGGATACTTGCCCAAGGCGGCACATTGTTGCAGATGGAGGGGCGACTTTACCTTTGACCTCGAGTCACGTCTCCTGGCCTAAGGGAGACTACGCGGTGATTGGCCGACAAAGCTTCCATCCATCACATTGACTAGCCAAGTTGGGGTAGCCGTCGGATACTCAGTACCTCGATCTCGGGATGAGGAAGTCAGTCTCCTTGGTCGAAGCAGGAGCGATGGAAGAGCAAGAGAGCACCTGACATGGTCACCTCATGATTTTCAATACTCGATGCACAACAATGTGCCTACATAGGTGCCTATCTTAAGGCTTGCAATGAGTCAACATTGATAATCCCGTCCTTCGTCTTGAGATAATGCACCAGTCATTGTACCATGAGTCAACTCGAACTTCCAGGTTGGGGTGGTTCGACTGATGTAGGTACAAACACACAGGGCAAGGCATTCTCTCAGCACCGAGCAGACAAGTCTTGCCGGATATGGCCCGCGCGGGTATGGTATACCTAGGTACTGAGGTGTGGAAGGTAAGGTACCTCATCCGTATGGTTTTGCTTTTACGTAGAGTTGCGGATAATACTATAGAATGTCCGGAAAGAAAGCAAAAAAATGAATTTTAAAAAAAACCTGAAGAAAACGAGAAAGAAATGGGATCGCTGCTCGGCTGCCGTCAGTAATCATCCCTGGCCGTGCCTTGTTACCGAGTCGCATTCCTCGACTGGATATCTGCCTCAGAGCTCAACTTTGATGAAGCCACAGCTGGACCCATCAGGCCGCCGCCGCATTGCCGACGCGGCCTTGCCCTGATTGACACTTGAGGCACGGATATTCGTACGGAATATTCAGGTAATTCTGTGTGTGGCACTGATAAAATTTGTGCAGTCTATTTAGTTTTTTCTTGCGGCTTCGCCTTCATCTTTCTGGTATTTGCTGGTAGGTGCCCTCCTTGTCTCCTTCCTCCTGCAGGCTGTGGTGGATAGATGAAAGTGGAACCTGTCCATTATGGAAAGTCCAGATGCAGACACAGCAGGACCTCTCTATCCTTTCTAGTGCATCTTCATAAATGAAAAGGAAGGAAAAAAGTCAAAGGGTGCGGTACGGGAAGGCACTCAGGCAAGGCACAAAGGTACATCTGGATCTGGCGTGAATGGCATGGTTGACCCACCTGTGAGACCCTTGTCCTCGGTTCTTGATCACATCATTGGCCCCTTTTGTCGCCCGCCTCTGACTCCACCCTCCTTGATTGGCCAGGCGCTCGCCTTGAACTGGTAGAGTTGTGTGTGGAAGTGGACCCCATAGAACCATGGGTGGTGTGCACCACGACCGTCGACCTGGCAGGACCTGGGCCTTGTCTGGCGGCCTGGCCTTGTCCCCCATCTCCACTTTCTTTGGGCTCCCCTGGATGGTGCACCTGCTTGCTGCTTGGTGCTTGGTGCCTGCCCTTTCACATCCTTGTCTGCCCTGGTCTGGTTCCCTCCTTCCCCCCTTCTCTCCTCCACCTTTCACCCACCCCCGTCTCCTGCCTATCCGTTCCATTGTGAGTGTCTCCTGCCACTCCAATGCTCCTGCTTCAGTGGACTGGACTCTCTCTCTCAAACTGGCAGCAGCGACTGACCGGGCTGCAACTGCAACTGCTTGTGCTCGGCTCCTACTTGCTGGTAGGTGCTGCTTCCCCTTCTTCTCTTTGCTGGGTGCTCCTGCTGCCGCCGCTGCCCACACCACTGGGCCACACCTTCCACCCACCCCTTGCCCTCCTTGCCTGTGCTTCGTCCACTCCTTCCCTCCCACGCCGCCGCCGCGGCACCCACCCATCCACTCACACACACCACACGCACCACTCGCACACATCCCATCTCCATATCTTGCCGTCCACTCGCTGCCCGTCTCCATCTCCTACTTCTACTTTTGCCCTCTCTTCCTCTCGTTAGCTCACCGCCCTTCTTTTTTCCCTCCTTCAACCCTTCTCTCCCCCTCCTCTTTCCCCCCGCCGCTCTGGTCTGCGATTTGTTCGTTATCGTCGTCGTCTTTTGGAAGGATAAAAAGGAAAATTCAAAGAAAAGAAAAACAAAAAAAGCCCACAAAGCCCAAAAAGCTCTCGCATTCTCTTGAGATCCGTCTCGCATCATTTTTTCAACCAACCGCACAAATTCTTCAGGGGTTCTGGAAGGCTTGCTCACCACAACCACTACGCAACTTCGCGCGACCACCACCACTGCACGCAAAATTCTCCCCCCATCCTCCGAAAGAGAGCAAATCAAAAGGAACAAAAAGGAATCCGGACCAACCCGCCAGCAATCGCATTGTGCATTTTGCATCCTGTCTTGACCATCGACACACAACAAACTCAAACCATCCGAGAAAACACTTTTTAATCGACTGTATTCTACTTCGACTTCGTCCATCCGTTTCTTCTTCGCAACAAATACATCAGAGAAAAAGTCCACTTCTTAATTTTCAGCACCGCTCCGTCTCATCCGACGCAAAGCAACGCAAACTCTCTCAGACACGTGCATATCAGGTTCGCAACTACCCCAAACTATTCGGTTTCTCGAGGAAGCTACAGTTGCCTAACTCTCACTCCTGCCAACCTTGTAGCGACAATCCCCTCGCTTGCGCCTCGAACAAAGAAGACTTGGTTCTTTGTGGTCCGCACCTCTTTCCTCGACCACAACCGCTTCTTGCCAAGTGTCTCCAGACGCCCCAGTGCTGTCTACACAACTTCATCGGCATCACATTGTCGCCCACTCTTTCATCATTACAATCATTTTTCGTCTTCCCTTGACCTCGACGCCCGGTTACGCGACCACTTAATCTCACCCATCACCCACGCCGTCAATCGATATCATCCAAAACACTGCCGATTTTTGGATTCCGACTTTTTGGCACCTTCAACAACTCCGTCGACAGCCTTCTGCTACGATTCCAGGACTAGCTCCGGAATTCGCCCAAGGATCGCTCGGACACGCAACTGCCTTCACTGACAGAACTGCCAACCGAGTATCATAATATCTCTCTTGACAGCCTGCGCTCCGCATTCTTCTACTATCCTTCTTGTAATTCGACCCGGTCGCCTCAGCCACTTGCAAGGCTTCCATACATTCTTTCTCGATTTTCCGAGTCTCGACAACTCGGATAACCCGGCAATTTCGCCAGCTCATTTCCGCGACCGACATCGATTCCCGTCTGAGCAATGGACGCAGGCGGTCTCGCTCAAATGAACTCCACAAACTTCACCTCGGGCAACAGCCTCGCCATGCCTGGTGGAGGTCTCGCCTCGCGCCGCGGTGGCCCCGTCAAGCCTCTGTCGCTGTCCAGCGCCACCCCCGGCAGTAACGCCGCCGACAATGGAGCGCCTACTCCCCGCACTAGCCGCTCCCATCTTCTTGCTGGGTTAAGAACCGCCCCGAAGTCCGCTACGGCCGCCAACTTTTCCGCTACCAACAACGCCAATGTTGCTTCGCCCACGTCCCAATCTTTTGCTGCTAGGAGCAACAACCTGAGCTCCAACATATATGCCCAAGCCCAGGGTAACCAGTACAACGGCCCCAAGACAGCCCTTCCTCGTTATGCTGGTCAGCAGCAGCAGCAGCAGCAGCAACAACAACAGCAGCAGGCCTACCAATCTGTTCCCTCCAGCCAGCATTACAGTGCTGAGCAGGTTCTTGCTCCTCCTGAGATTCACTTCGATGAGCAGGAACAGATGGACCCGAGCTTGTACGCCCAGCTGGTTGCCACCAACATGTACCTTGCTCAGCAGCAGCAGCGTCTTCAGCAACAGCTTCTCAGTGTTCAGGCCGCCGCTCAGCAATTCCAGGGCCTGAACTTGCAAGGCGCCCAGCAACAGATTCAGCAGCAGCAGCTCGCCATGTACCAGCAGCAGCAGCAGCTTCAGAGCATCCAGCAGTCGATGATGGGACAGATGCAGCAGCCTCAGCAACAGGTCTATACGTACTACGACCCCGTTACCCGTCAACAGGGCTACTACATTGACCAGGGACAAACCGACCAGCAGGCTCAGCTGACTCAGATTTACGCCGCCTTGGCTCAGCAGCAGCAACAACAGCAGCAGCAGCAGCAAGCTCCTCGCGTCCAGGTGTCCCCTCCTCCCGAGAACCACGCCACTCCGTATCGTACTACAACCCCTCCCAAGCGGTACGAGTCGCCCTCTGAGGTTGCTCCACTGCCTCCCCCGTCGGCGAATGCCTTCCGCCGTGGCCATAAGAAGGTCATGTCGCTTGCTCTGAACGGTAACAACCAGGCCAGCCTTTCGCCTTCCCAAGAGCCTCCCAAGTCTGCTGGCCCCAAGACAGCCTCTTTCCCGTTGACCCCTCTGTCCGGCGGCTATGGGCCTGGTCAGGGACGCGCCGGCGAGCACCCCATTCGTCAGCCTCGCGGACCTCCTTCCATTGAGGAGTTGAAGGCCAAGCCCATTGCAAAGATGGAGGGCAGCAAGAACTTTGCCACACGTGCCCGCCGGTCTGCAGTTCACAACCTTGTCCGTGCTGGACGTGAGCGTAGAAAGGGTCCGGGCAGTTCTAATGGTAGCATGAGCCCGGTCTCAGAGAGTGCTGAGGAAGAGTCTGGTACCCCCATTACCGACAATGAGTCCGACTCTGGTCGCAGTGGATCCGGCAGCCTTGCCGGCGATATCGACTGCTCCCTGCCTAGCTCAAGAACTTCGACCAACGGCAGCTGGGGAGCTATTGGCTCCGACCGCCCAAGCTCCCGTCAAAGAACTCGCAAGAGTGTTGACAGCATTGGCAGCAACGAGAGCGGTGAAAACAGCTTCGCCAGCGTCTTCAAGAACTCGGCCCAACGCGCCGGTGTCGAAGTAGCGGACGGACAGCGCAAGGCGCCCATGCTGGTTTTGACCAGCGCCGAGAAGCGCAAGAGCGGCATTCTTGCGTAGACTTGTTGGTCCCCGGACGTTACGACGACTATGCACACCTATGTCTTTCCTTATTGACGACCTGCATGAGGGGGAGGTTGACCCTCGGCCCTAAACTGCAGGATTGAACGATGGGTTGGACGGTCTGGCGCGCTCTTACGAATCATATGGTGTTCTTTTCAAGGGTTAGGTGGCTCATTTCATATTTCAGCATCCGAGGCTTGGTTGACTCACAAATTCATTTTCACTTCTTTTACATTCTTAACCAAGTCATCGGATTATCGACAGCCTCTCGCTACTGATATTCCTTGTATGGCTCTGGACAAGCAACACCTCACAGACTCACAACAGTCTTGAGCTGGACGGATCGAGGGAAAGATATACCATTGGGGCAGGGGAGTAAGGAAAGATTTGGGCCAAGCTTGGGTTTCTTTCTTCTCAAGTGAACATGGAACTTTGGTTCTGCGCGACGGGACTCGGAACAATTTCCTGAGATGGAATCGGATGAGCCCGGACGACGTGAGACGCTTGCTTTTCGTTTTCTCTTTAAGGTCCTCGTGGGAATTCTTTACAGATAAGGCAAACACAAATTCGCAGTCGTTTCGTCGGCGCTGGCTGGAAAGTCGGCACGACGATGATGATGGCGGCTGACAGGACAGGAATGTAGTTAGCATAGGAATAGGCACAATACAGATTGATGCCCAATATTTGTTCCGTCCATGTTACGGTGTCAAGTGATTGATTATAACCAAGGTGTACGGCGCGTAAACCTATATAGTCTATGCTTTGTTGCCCGACTTGAATGATTCCGCCATCTTGTCAAACATCTTTTTCTTGTCCGTCTCGATGTGGGCGAAATTCTTGGCCGGCCCAACGATGATTTCGTCCTCCTCTCCCTTCTCGAGCGCGGCCCAGGTCTCGTCGGTGAACTCGTCCAGAGGCATACCAAAGTTGGCCTGGCCCGCCGCGACCAGGTCCGGCTGCTGGGAGTGCAGCTCCGTCTGCACGGCGGGCGGAACGACCTCGATGACGCGGACGTGGGCGGAGGACGGGCTCGATTGCAGCTGAGCGCGGAGGGACCAGGCGAGGGAGTGGAGGGCGGATTTGGTGGCGCAGTAATTTGGGCAGCGGGGGATCGGGACGAGGGCTAGGCCTGAGGAGACGAGGATTATGGATGCTGTTGTTTGAGCGGTGCTGGTGCTGTTTTTGAGAGATTGGAGGTGTGGAAGGAAGTGGGTGATGAGGTGGATTGGGGCGAGGTAGTTTGTTGCTAGCTCTGCTGAGACGGAGGGGAGGGAGATTGTGGAAGGGGAGGTGAAGTCTATGCTGCGCTGGATGCCTGCGTTGAGGATGATTGTGTCTAGGGTTGGATGGGTTGATGTTATTCTCGGAGTGTTGTTAGTCTTGGTGTGTTGTCGATAGGTAGGATGGTGAATGTAAAGATGAGGTAAACTCACTTCTCGACCCACGCCGGCAGGGCCGCGAGGTCGGCGATATCAAACGGCTCGGCAGCGACTTTATCGGCGCCGTGGGCGGAGACGAGGGCGTCGAGGCGGTCTTTGCGGCGGCCGACGGCGATGACGAAGGTGCCGTTTGCGATTAGGCGCTCGGCGAGGGCGAGGCCTATGCCGGCTGTCGCACCTGTGATGAGGACCGTTTTGGAGGGGAAGGGCATTGTGATTCTGATGGTTGTGTGCGCGCTTCGGTGGTTGAGGTTTTGGAGGGCTGGTGAGCTGGTGAGCTGTGATTCTAGCTTTCTTGTTGCGAGGCCGGGAGGTATATTTGGCTTTCGATCCCTCTAATCGAAATGATGGTGAAGGTTGAGCTTGTTGCGGGGTGGTGGTTGAGCCGATTTTGAGCCGATGGGGTTGTGAGAGGGTGTGTGATAAGGTGTGAGGGTCATTGTGACGTTCCCCCTGCTTCCGCGATCGCGGATCCGGTGGGGCCGGAGGATATGAGCGGGGTGTGCAGTCGGCTTTTCTTTGAGCGATGATACTCGGGACGATGTGACGTTGATAGAGGAGTGTTCCAGGGAGGCGGATACCAGTGGGGGTTGTTTAATATGTCGGAGATCGGGTGATGGGGTCTTTGCCCTCCATCTGATGTTGTTGCTGGAGGCGTCTGTCGGACGGTTGCTAACGGAGGTGAATGACTTGAGTAGGCGGATGTTGTCGAAGTATACTTCCGCCATGTTGAAGAGTCTTTTGCTAGCGTTGGTGTATTTGTTTTGGCGGATATGCAGAGATGAGAGGGAGGTCACTATGGCGAAGACCGGCTGTCGTGCAGGTTGGTGAGATTCTTTTGAGCGAGATGACGAGTCAGTGGGCGAGTGGGTGGGATCGAATGAAGAATGACGATGGGAAGCTCTGACGGGAGACAGGAGTCCGCGGCAAATACCAAGTCCAGAGGCATGACAAGCCAGCTATGCGGCACCAACTCAAGCCTCTTGCGCCTATCAAGAGTTTTATATACTGGTGAGACTTGAGCATAAGCTGCCCAGGAGTGAGTGCACTGGCTCGAAGCAGTATTTCCCATACCAAGAGGAGTACTGGTAGCGACGAAAGAGCGTCTACAAAGAACTGCTGTATTGTGGCAAAGATCTCAGAGAGGGAGCTGTCATGACGAGGGAATGGAACCGGCTTAGAATCATAGGTTCATATCAATAAGGTACAGGGAATACGATGCCTAGTTGAGGGACTCTGTTAACCCGGGACTGAACCCCAACGAGAGCATCCGGCTTCGAGGGCTGAGGATGATTTAAGCTCCATCGACTAGTCCAAAACCAAGTCGAGCCTACGTTGGACTTGTTCCTGGCCAGTATCGCTAACCTGCTTAGTAGCTGTGTGCGGCGCAGTCAGACCCATGAATCTATATATCACTGGGCCGTCTATGGAGACAGAGGGAAAAAACTCAACTTCACTCTTCCAATAATCACCACCTTTGCGCCCCTAGCTTATTCTCCCAATCAGACCGTAGCCTCCATGACAACCCATATCTGGTTCGTATCGATCCACGATGCCCACTTTTGACTGCTTTCCCCTGCTCCCCCTCGAGGTGCGTGAACGCATCTGGGAGCTTGCCATGGAGCTCCGTCAGATTGTATACGGCGAAGAACCACCTGCCTACAGACAGTGCCCCTGGCCATCATCTGGGCTGTCGCCTCCCCTACTTCACACCTGCCTTGAATCTCGGACGCATCTTCAGCGCTTTTACGTGAAGGTGAATGCCGCCACGAATACGAAACCCAAAAGGTTCGCTTGGGTCAACGTCGAGATTGACACTATCTATCTGGTCCAATATGCCCTAAATGAACTTCGTGCCGAATGTCCGACGGTGCGCAGGCTCATCATTCTTGGAACAGATTCAGAGTTGTTCTACCACAACTATTGCTCAGAGCTACGTCACATGGAGCGTCTGGAAACCGTCACAATCCTTCACCTGGAGTCACCGGAGAGAACAGACGAGGACTGGTGGGCCGGCTGGGATGACATGATGGCCGGCTACTATTTCCGTGACGACCTTGTCGCCTTCTACACGCGGATTCTTTACCCCAAGTGCCCGCCTTACGAGATCAACCCGGAAAACTACCTGAAAGTTGAGCGAGCCCACCGAAGAAGGCTGGTGGCGGAGCATCCCGACTGGTACGAGCCGGGCTATGAGGCATCTGACTCAGACGACGACGACGTCTGTAGACCAAACCGCTTTCGTAAAGGCTACGGCCGTCATCTCGAGGGCTACACTACGCCCCCGAGATCGTCCAACGAACCTGTGAAGTTAGGATTGTATCGCGCGCGTAGACATCGGACGAAATTGAGTGGAGCGGCACTGGATCAAGTCGCAAGGTAGAAGGGTGATTGGCGATGGTTAAGTAGGCCGATGAGAAAAGGATGTTCGTAATGAGATAGAAACCCAAGACGTTAAAGAAGGCTTAGGTAACGTGTAGAAGGTTGAGTTGAGAATTAGTGAGACTGAAAGTGATCCACTGCCTCAGGTTTGAACTGCTTGACTGTATTACTTGCCTTTGAGACACAGGAACAACAATCCCAGTTTCACAATGGAATAAGTGTCTTGCAACTAACAACGAGTACCTTCTAAAACAATAGTAGGCACATAGATGGAGACTAACGACCTGGTCTCGCGGAACACATGTCCCAAGCCCGTTGCAAGGTTTCTCCTTTCCCTCACAATACAAGTGACGATGAACTATTGCAGTAGAAGTTGCAGCTATTCGTCGTCGATAAACAAAATCAGTCCAACCGCCTATTCAACGCAAGCCTCGCTAAATATAGACTGCAGTCTTTGGCGACTTCGTCGTTCTTAATGAAAGAGACTGGGTCATACGGGCCATTCTCAAAACGTGCCGTGACGAGATGATCGACAGGTTCGTCTGATGATTGTCCAGCACCCCCCAAGAAGTATTCAAAGCTTGTTCGCGCGGCCTACGGGAGGGCATCAATGGAGATGCCGCAACTTTGATACCATTAGGTGCCCAAACTGAAAATTGCAAATGCTGGATAAGCAGATTTTGTATCTGATTTATCTATGGATATGCTTGGAATTCTCCAAGGGTCATTTTTTCATCAAGTGATAGACAATCGTCTAAGTTCAAAAAATATCAAGTCAAAACTATTACGCAGATTCTACCGCCTTCGCGACCCATTTTCCCGACTCATACCAAAAGACTATTTGTTTCGACAAATTCACTTACGGCGGGAAAAGCCTAACGTGGCCAATACCCTCATGAAAGACGTCTTGGAATTGTAGTTGCTGGTGGGGATGCAAAGTTCCCGCTTAGCAGCATCGATAAGCGTCAACGCGTTCTGGCGCTGCATCTTCTCAATGTCATTGACCTTTTTCGCGGTGTCCAGTTCCTCATGGAGACGTCGAATTTCCTTGGCCAACCTTTCCATCTCCTCCATCTGCATCAGCACGTATTTCTGAGCACGATCGACGTACCCTTCGTATTCCTTTCGACATTTGTACGTTAGTAAATGCGCTTTACACAATTTCGAGTTCCATAGGCGGATACTGGGGAAGACTTGGGTTTCAAGTTACCGCTTGAAGTTCTTTAAGTTGATCTTCGAGATCTCGGATATCTCCTGCCCATGACTGACTCTTCCAAGGCGCTTCACCGGGCTCAGGGTCACGCCATGGCGTAGATGACATTGAGTACGCGGGAGACGGCTCAGACGGGATCACCATGAGATGATGGCCATCTTCAGAGCATTGCGACTGCTCAGATTTTTCTATCATTGCTTCTTGCCGGTTGGCTGTCTAGAAGCTAAAGGTTACTTGGAGGAGGTTGGGCGTGAATTATCATGCAATCCTCAAGTGGATACAATTGAGGGAGACAATTTTGGACGTTAATTGGAATTCCGCGTGACTGATGTGAAAGTCGATAACGTGTCAGAGTTGACTGGCAGATTATGTTCAATGCTGGGAGTTACCATCTACTTACTTATATTCGAATGAGTACTTGTCGATATGTTGCGCTAGAAAGACTTGTTTTGAGCATGAGTTGTCCAGAAGCCTCAGTGACATTCACGCCTAACAACATTACACTTCTAGAAAACCGACATGGACTCTTATCCCAGCCTCTATAGCCTTGAATGTCCTTAGAAAGCTTTCTTGTCCAACATGAAGCTCTTACCAAGAGTGTTCACACGAAACTGTATTTTCAATGAGAATCGATTCAATACTGAAACTAGTACACCATTGAATTCTTGATTATCTTTATTCTTATTTTTATCGAGAATAGGCAACTGTAAGACAAAAGAAAGGGCGTAGGAAAGAAGAATGTCAATGGCAGAAGTCGTCCAGAGATCTGCAAAGCTTGCATATTTCAAACCCCTATTCTTGTCTCTGTCATGTGGGCTGGCGACCAACCCATACTATAACATCTCACTCTTTACTCCCATTAGATTGAGACATCCAGTATCAGAGCTTTGTGAACTGTACTGATGGATGTGGTCATGTCTCATGAGGAGATGTGGGATATTGTGCCACAGAACAAGCACTTACGAATCAAGCCTCCGCATTCGCCACAAAGTGGCTGACGAGTTCTCAGCATCAATTGGATCACTCTTTCACCAGTCCATTTCCACATGAAGAATAGCTTCAGCACTAGACCTAGAATTCTCAAGAACCCCCTTAGAGCTTCCGGCACGTCTCTATCATTGCCCGCTCAAAGCCATCTAGTGTTAGTTACAGAGAGGGAAGTTCCGTCGCTGAAGCGTTGATGGATATAAGAGTCTGGAACATTTCCAGACGCGCACGTGCCCACTACTACTGTGCTGCCCAGATGCCCAGATGCCCAGGACAGGGGCGGGCCAGGGGAAACTTGGCGCCGTTTGTTGCCCTGAAACTCCTGCAGCCACCACTCAATCTCCCTTTTGCTCCCGTCGAATGACGCTACGCGACGCCACTATTTCCCCAAAGTTCCATCCTGGATTGATTATCGCCAAGACGGAGAGATGGGGGCGAGGCGCTCTTGGCTCCTGCTCCGAGCGTCACTCGGAAATAGAAACCGACTTCACGCCCACATCACGGTCGGGAGCCCTCTGCAATCCTTCTGTCTGCTGTCATTCCAGAACGCAGTCGACGCGGTGTTGCTACTTGTTTGAGGGAATTGATTTCGCGTGCAGCAAGACCTTCGCCAACGTCTAAGAGAGTGAGGCTTGGAATTGGCGGCGACGAATACCCATGTCGGGCGAGTCGGGTGACAATGTCAGTCAAGTTGTCATCGCCGTTGGAAAGGCTGGTCGCCCGAAGGTCTCCCTAATGAGGAAGCTCTAGAAGCGGGTAGGAATCTATACCATCACGCCGCAGTCATTACATAGCAGTATCAGAGAACCAACTCTCGCAGACCGGCGAATTTAAGTCGCTCGAGAGTGGACGTGAAGGCGAAGGGTGAGTACCATGATTTAGTAGCCCGGTAATGAATCTGATGATAAGTTGATCGTTGAAGCTGTACCGCCACTTTGCGCTTATCGCGGAGGCGAATTATCCAAGTAATGCAATTTAGGTCTCAGGAGTGTTGGCATTGCTGGGAAGTGCATGTGGGATTTCCAGACATGTGACGTGAGGTGTTATTGATTACTTACTCTGTACTACAGTAGCATCATAAAAAGGAAGAATCCTCTGATGCCAATTCGTCAACAAGGAGAAATGCCAAGAGTTGATATCTGCCCACTTTTGATATAACTCACAGCTTCCCCATTCATCGATTCATCCACAAAACAAATAGCATTTGCCAACCTTCCACTTCTTGCCATTTCGTCGCAGCCAAATTTCGGTTTGTCGCCAGACTCCGCAAGGTCCGTGCAGGATCCTGCAAGGCCGGGCGCAGCAAAGGTCGTTGCTCATTACTCTCTCGGATTACCCCCGCATACCTCAGTAACATGATTTCGCACTTACATTCCTTGTTGTCAACTATTCTCTCTGTGAGAGAGACAGCTCTGAACAGCGTCTTTTGACATTGAAGCATCTATCTTGACAAGCGTTTCTTCATACAACATTGCGTGCTTCTGCTGTGCCCTCGGAGGATTTCTCTGATTATTGTCCGGAACGGGCCGTCTGTGAAGCTGGGGCATATGCTGGGTCCCGCGGGTGTAGGTAGGTGCTGTGACTAAGCAGCAACACCACAGCTATTATTCACTCCTTGTCTTCTGCAACTCCCCACGGCATTCATAGGTAGTCGACAACTCTGCATATATCTTCGATCCATCCAGGTACTCGAGATTAAGTTTGGAAGCGCCAGTCGCCTGACCAAAAGAGCATCCTTCCCAGCAAGCGAGCTGCTCGTCAGACGCCAAGAGATAGTAGGGTAGCAGCGCTTGATAGGTTGGATGCGCCGGCAAACCTCTAAGAGGTGGAGAATTGCCGCGCCAAGACACCAGTTGTTCAACGCCTGCCCTTCATCTCCCAGTCGTTTCCTCGATACATGGGTTGGGACCACGGTTTCCCACCCGCAACTTGATGTTTCTACGGCCTACCTCCGTCCTCCGCGGCCCCCTCTTGGCCTTCCTAATACGCTCGGGTCTGTAAGCCATCATGCTACCTTCCCGAAGAGAGGGCCGACCGAAAGCCTCATGGGCGAATAACTTAGTCGCCTGGCCGTCCGGCGCTGTACATCTCCGATGCGGGCGAGCATGTTCCCGTTGGCCTTCCGAATCTGAAGATACAGCCGCTCCGAAGCCGATGATCTGCACCTCATTTAAGCATAATGCAAAACTCAAACAAGCGTGTGAGGCGTCAGTTGGCGAGACCCAGTGCCGAACCAGTCCTGCACCAGACCTCGTGGATGAGCAGGCTAACAGCTCCCGCGCTTCCCAACGGTTGTCCCAACTTCCCAAGTTTTGCCCCCAACACGCCCAACCTGATTCCTATCTTGAGGATCTTGTACTCCTTCCTATTTAGCTATGCGTATACCATTGCATCGCGGGGTAGGCGGTAGTCTCCGAAGACACCTTGAAGGACTCACCCGACTAACACTGCTAGCACTTCGCGGGGTAGCTCCCTTCTCAAGTGCCTTTTGAGGAAGGCGGCGGGAGCTCTGGTGATATCATGGCTGCAGTGACATCGCAGGGCGGATATCTTTTCGAGCGCTTCTTGTGGAATGCCCTGTTGATACCAGGGAAACCTGCGGTGACATCGCAGTGCAGATGTCGTCCGAAGTGCCTAGTGAGGAAGTTCCGCTGATCTCTTGGAAACCTGCGGTGACATCGCGGGGCCATTGTCTTCTGATGTGCCTGTTGAGGAAGGCCCAGCTGGAATCAAGGAAACTTACGATAACATCACAGGCCGGCTTGGAGGCGAATTGGGAAGGAGGAGTTACACGATGGCTG